GCAAGCAAGGCCCCTCCAAACAATGGCTCCATGACTCCATGACACCACCGAGGACGGCGACGTGGAGCCAAACCCTGGGCCGAGCTTTTCACATTTGCGCCCTACCTCCCAACCTCTCGCGCTATACCTCTGCTTCTTGAATGCAGGTGGGACGACCAACCTCTTCGAAGGACTGGACATGATTGCCTCCGACGCTGTTCCAAGACGGCCAGTCGTCTTCGCGTTTGCTGAAACCCGAGCTGGCCCTCAAGGCCAACAATCAGCTACACGCAAAGCTCTTAGCCTTGGTTACAAAACTTGGTGGTGGATTGCTTCAACCCCTGTTCCTCGCAGGGGGTCCGCCTGTCACGCTTACAGGGGTGGAGTCTGTGTTGGTGTACGCCAATCTGTTGCTTGCAGCTTGGCCTCCATGTGGTCACATAGGCAAGGTGAATTGGTTAGCCTGGAATTTGGAAGTTTTTCTTTGACAGCCGGTTGGCGTCGCCCTCAAGAAGAGCATGACGTCTTCGACTCCGAGCTGGGAACTTTGTCATTGGCCGCCGCCAGTCGTGGATGTTCCGTGCTAGTGCTGGGAGATTTCAACGACACTCCTGAAGAGACTCCTTTACCAGATCTTGGGTTGTTCATCCATGCTCCTCGCGATTCCCACGGATGGATTCCGTCTCGTTGCAAAGGCACCCGTGCCATCGGTTGGCTCGCGTGCAATGATTCGATGCCTGGAGACGCGCATCAGCGACCATAAGGCGCTTTGGATTTCGGCATCGCTTTCCTTTGACAGGTCACTTTCCTCTTCCGCCATGCCGGCGCGACACCTGGGATGTCCCCAAGAAGTTGCAGTTGAGGACTGGCGCCGTGCTTTAAAAACCATTTTGATGGTCTTCGTATGGTTTGGTGTGGCACTGTTGAAGAGCAATGGACGCAGCTTTGCTCGGTTGTGGAGAGTGGCTTGCACAGCACCGCTTGCAAGCTTTCTCCGGAAGGACCCCTACAGCCCTCCCACGAGGCCGAAAGGGTCTCTCCCTGAGGTCATCTTGAGCGACTCCACCAAGACCCCCAAACCTTTGGAGGAACCTGCGCGCATCTTGGCTCTCAATAATTTTTTGGGCAGATTGCTTGAAGCGCAACGCGCAGCTCGCCGTCGTGATGGAATCCCAGAGTCATTGCAGCAGGCAATTTTTCGCAGCTGGCCGCAGGATGTGCCGCGCAGCACATTTGAGGATGCCACCGCCTACACTGAGCATTCCATCCACCTTCTCCGACAACGCAGACGACAACATGGTCTGTCTACCTGGAAACAAAAAGTCATGTCCGGCGGGCGTGCTGCCACGAGATGGTTAAAGAACAAGGCCTGCCTGCTTCCGCCGGCGTTGTCCCTGACCATCGACGACAACACCTTCACCAGTCGTACTGTGGGACAATCTCTTCAGTTCCTTCAGCAACTTTGGAAACGGGTATGGCGCCGACCAATCCCCCATGATCTGGTGTCCTCCTCTGAAGAACGTTGGCAGAATTCACCCCCGCCTACCGCTAGCTGGGGTGATGCTGTTTTTCCCCTCTCAGCCGAGGAGTTGTTAGCAAGAGCCAGAGTCAAGCATGATGGAGGAGCTGGACCTGATGGCTTCACTGGCGAAGAGATCTCCCACCTCCCGTTGCTGGCAGTTGTTTGCAGAGCGCCTTCAATGCTGGCATCAAGCTCGCGCTTTCCCAGAGGCATGGCGCCACGCGCGCATGGTCTGCATCCCTAAAGATGAGCTGCAAGGCAATGAGGCGTCTGTGGATGTGGGCAGGATGCGTCCTATCACTGTGTTTTCTGTTTTCTACCGTATTATCTTGGGGGCTTGGACCACTCGCGATGCCACTAGAAATTGGCTTGATCAGGTTACGCCAGACTGTTTTCATGGTGGAATTCGCGGTCGCACTGCTTGGAGCGCTCTCCGGCTCTTGGATGCTGCTTGGAAAGATGATCGCATCTTGATTAGCTTCGACTTCTCCTTGTGCTTCGATCATGTTCACCCAGCGTTGGCGCTTCGCTGTTTGGAGCTGCACGGATGCCCGAACTTTGTCCTCGACCTCCTCCGCTGGACTTGGACGCACCAACGTCGCTGGATCCAGCTGGGCAGCCATGTTCATGACACCCCTACGCTTGTCGACTCCAGTCTTCCTCAAAGATGTCCTGTGTGCCCCTTAGCGCTGACTCTTTTGTTGGTCAGCCCAGCGTTGAAGCTCCAGAACCAGATGGGTCACAACCTTGACCAGACGCTTCTCATTGATGACCGCGCTGCCGTTGTTCGTACAGCGGCCGAGGCGAAGTTTAATCATCGAAGCCTGCAGGCCATGGCGGCCGAGCTGGGTTTGAAAGAAAACCGTCGCAAACTCAAGATCCTGGCGAAATGCCCTCTTCAACAACGAGCCCTTCAGACTTTAGGCCTTGTGCCGGCCACCGAAGCTGTGGTGTTGGGCACTACTTTTTCTTCGACGCAAAGCTCCTAAGTTGTGGGGTCGTCTCGATGGAAGAAGTTCGAGGGAACCCTCCACCGCTTGGCCTGCTTACCGGTTTCCCCCAAAACCCGAGATGCCTTGTACAGGACAGTCGTTTTGCCTCAACTTGTGTGGGTCTTCTGGTGGACTACTTCTCCGACCGCAGACTTCAATGCTCTCACCTCCAAAGCTCGTCGTGCTCTTCATGTTGTACAGCTGGGAGCCCGTGACCTTTGGCTTCTTCTGGCAGGTCATTGGATGGATGTGGGCTTCTCACTTAAGCTCTTCTCTTTCTCTACCTTCTTTCACGCAGAGCAATTTTGGATCAGTCGCCATCGCCAGCTTGATCCAGGCAGATGGGGAGTCGCCGTTACGACTTTCTTGGAAAACATGGGCTTCACTTCGCACAGACCTCAAGTGTGGCGCCAACAAGGTTTCCTGGACATCAACTTGGCTGATCCTTCGCCGACATCCAGAAGTCTTGGCTTGCGCTGCGTCCGTGAAGCGTGGCGCAACCTTCGGCATCGCTCTTTCCTGCCGAATCCCCGACATGAGGTGGCCGCTCTTTGACAGGCGCGCAGGATGTACAACTCTGCCACTCTGCCTTGCTCTTGTCCGCCATCACGCTCTACAAAGGGGCTTCTTTGGAGGAGCCTGGGGTTATGCTGTGTGCTGCTAACAGTGAGGCTCAGTATGCTCGCATGCGTGATCCACGTGGTGCTAGGCCGACTATCTTGCAGTCTTGCTCTTTGTGTGGAGACCATGTGGTGCCTAATTGGTTTCATGCGGCTTGGAAGTGCAGTTACTTTGCCGAGACTCGTCCTCCCGAACCGGATTGCGCTTGGGCAACTAGGCTTGGCTGGCCTCTGCCTCATGAGCCACACTGTGCTTCTCCCGCTCGTTTACGGCACCTTGCTTACGTTCGCCGAGTTCTCCGCGAAAAGTTTGGCTTCAACTTTGGAGGCGGCGCTGCTGCTGCTTGTGCTCCTAGTTGAGCGGTGATTATTATTATGGCTGCTTGACCCAGAACTTGAGCTGTACGCTGTGAACATGGCTTTCATGGTCTCCCTTTTCTTCCTTTCATGGAAATCTGTCGACTAGGTATCGCTGGGGGTGCCAGTCGACTTTAAACATCATCTTACAAAGCAGTGAACGGCCACCGTGCGAATACCTCCTGGATTTCAAATCCTCGGTGCTCATGTGTGGTATCATGGGGATGACCAAATTCGAAGCTCGAGATGTCATCTTGGTGCGGTTGACATGTTACCTAGTCCGAAGCTACACCAAGTTCGAGCAGCCCCTCTCAGGAGGCCGTGGCCACGTACATTTTGCGCGGCTTTGGAAGTTTCAGGAAGCGCAGACGCGCCAAAGTTCGCATAAGGAAACGGCTCAAGCCCATTGAGCCACTCAAAGCAGACAGTTCGGCCCGACTTGGTTCAGCACTTGGATGGCGATGAGTGGACCACCCCACCTAGAACTTTGATGGTTGATACCCCGGGAGGTTCCCTTCCTTGGCATCTTCTCTGCAGAGGCGGGGGTGTGGACAATGCCGAGCTCCTCGCTGGTCTTCAGGAGTTTCTCGCCAAGTTCAAGGACAAGGATGATACGAATGGTCAGCCGACCAAAACTAAACACAAGGGCAAAGGCAAGCATAAGGACTCGAATGGGCCTGCATCTCCTGATGGAGGTGGTCGTGGCCAGCAGCCTCATTCGCATGCTACTGCACAGTCCAATGGCAAAGGACATGGGCAGGCCATCAACTCTGACAAGGACTTGTTGCGTGAGTTGTTGCAGCTTGTTTCAAAGGAAGAGTAACCCCGATGGGCTTCTGGACCTTCTTCAAGATGTGGTTCATCGTGCTGTTTGTGGTTATGGAAAGGGCAGGGCTGCGCGTAGGGTTCGGGCTCAGACTGGATCCGAGGGCAACCCATCTTCTGCCCCTCCAGCCCCTTCGACAGATGACTCTTCCAAAGTTGCGGTTCCTCCTCCTTTTTGCAAGCCAGTTGGCGCCGAGGGCGAGGGCCAGCCTTGGGTTGTTGTGCAGAAATCTTCCAAGAAACCCCCAAAGCAGCAGCGTGTTGAGTCCTAGATTGTGGATCCTTTGGCTGGTGGGGTCGTTTCGTTCCCTATTGCCAAAAAGCGTCTTTCAGAAGGCACTCCATTGCAGGCGAACTTGATCATTGCACATGATCAATCCGAGGCTGATACACTGATCTCTCTTGCTCGGGCGCACGCAGTCACTGACAAGGCAGCTGTGGTTTGCAGATTTCAACCTACCAAGGAGGCTTCTTCTATGCAGTTGCCCTCCATTGGACCCCGTGGACAGAGGCAAGTTCGCGCCTGGCTGGCCTCTGCTGCCAACATTCCTGAGCGGAAGCTTTCGGCTCCAAATCCCCAGAGACTTCGTTGATGAAGCAAAGTGGCAGCAGGCTCTTAAGCACCCATCCGATTATGTGCGCAAGGCCATTGGTTCCATTCACTCTTTTGGGCAGTGGCAGCAACACCAAGCAGGAGCTAAAGGCATGAGGGAGTGTCTGCTCGAGTGTTATGTCAAGGTCGCCTTGGACAATGTCAAATCGGTGTTCAGTCGCTCTGGTAAGGAGGGCATCTTCCTTAGCGAGCTCGCGAAAGATGGACCTCGTCCCCAGGTTGAGTGGGTTGAGGCTGGGGAAGTTGTTGGGCCTGCATACCTTAAGCTTGCTACGATCAAGGCTGAGGGTGCTCCTCTTGCTTTTCGTCGAGGTGGGGGCACAGCTTTTGGATTCAGACTGCCGGCCTCTACCCCGCTTACAAGACCTTATGCTTGGCGTGCTCGCAACATCCCAAACTTTTGGACTGAGGCTGATGTGCGATCTGCCTTGGAAGGTGCTGGATTTAGTGACTTTGAGCTCTTGAGCCCTGGCCATGGAAAGGTCCCATGGTTCTTCAGAGCTAAGTTGCAGAATGATGGTGGGCAGCCTTCCTTGGCTGTGCAAACCGGTCGGCTCACCATTGACATTGAGCGAGCTGCCCCTCGTCGAAAGTTGGAGAATGCCCAGTCGAAGGTCATCACAAATCGACCTGTGCCGAAGCCCCCGAAGGCATTGCCAGTTTCCACTGAAGCCGAGGATGTTGAGATGGAGCCCCCTACTTCACAGGGTGCAGCTGCCACTCCCCCTTCAACCGAGGTACGTGGGCGACCAGATGAGCAAACTGGGAAAAAGGGCCGAGTGCGATCCAGATCGCTTAAGCGTAAGGGCGTTGTTTGGTGGGAGGAGCACGAAGGCGGTGGTGATGGCAATTGTTTTTACAACTGTGCTGGCGCTGCCTTTGGCCTCCAGCGTGACAAGATGAGCTGGGAGGATGTCTCGAAGAGCACTCGCTCGAGAGGTTGCACGCTCCGTTCCGAGTTGGCTGCCTACATCCGTGAAAAGTCTGAGTACTTCAAGTCTTTCTGGCTTCCTCCTGACGTTCCCCAGACTGACACCGAGGAGGCTGCTCTACGTAGTATGGAGGCTGGGGATCCGGCCGAAACTTGGGGTGCTTATTTGGCTAATCTTGATCGGCCGAAGCGCTGGTGCGATGAGCTCGCCTTTCGCGCGGCTACCAAGCGTTTGAACTGCAGGATCCTTGTCATACTTGGTGACCCGGGCAATCCCACTCAGGTCCTCCAAGGACCTTAATCGCGCTCAGGTGATGATCCCTTTGCTCTACAAAGACCACCGCTACAAACTGCTTGAGCCGAAAGCTGGGCACACAGTGCCGAGGGAATGGTTGGAACAAGAGCCTGGCAATGTCACTGCGCCCCGTGGTGGTGGTTGGCTTCCTTCCAGGGCTTCTTCTTCGGCTTCCTCCTCGAAGGTCCCTCGTTCTGCTGGCTCTGGGTGCCTCCTAGGAGCCACAGCGCTGACTCTCGTGCTTGGCTCCCTTCCAGGGCTACTTCTCGTAAATCTCAGCGGGTCACTCCTCAAGCTGTTGCCCCAGCCTGTGGTTCTGATCAGGTGACAATTGCACCGTCTCTTCAGGAGGATGCAAATGGTTTCAGTGCTACGAACATTGCATATTGCTGGGCGCCGCTCAAGCACTCCGAGGTCACACTTTCAGCGTAGTCCCCGGGGACGCGAGGCATGTCTTTCCACACACGCTCGTGGGCGATTGTTTGCTAAGTTGAGTCCACAGGGCCGAGCGGTATTTGCCAGGGCTTGGAAACTCACAGCTTCCGAAAAGCTTCAGCTCAGGAACCCAAAAGCTTCAGCTCAGGAAGAGGGCCCGGGCATTCACCTCCTGTCACTGAAGACGGGGATGTGCGCCCGCATCCTGGACCAAGTGATCATCAACCTCCTGCGTCACTTTTCACATCGATGAGTGGTTCCTCTTCGCTGGCCTCTGATGGCCTTGCTCAGCTTGGTTGTGGGCGTATCTTGTACCTAAATGTCGGAAAACACTCCAACATGTTCGAGTACATGGAGATGATCTCCAGCCTGGCACGGGATGACAAGCCTGGTGTGTTTGTTGCTTCTGAGTGTCGCGCTTGCCCTAGTGCACAGCGTGCTGCCACCTTGAAGGCCAGCTCCTGCTGGCATCAAGCGTGGCAGCAGACAGGAATGGAAAGGGGGCCTTTGTGTTGGAGTCTCTCAGGATATCGCCTGCCTTTTGTGTGACAAGTGGTCTCATGAGCAGGGCGATCTGCTTCATCTTCAGCTTGGTGATTTGGTTGTCGTCGCAGGCTGGCGGAGACCCCAACAAGAACAGGACCTCTTCAATGAGACCCTTACTGCCTGGTGTTTACAGGCGACTGAAAGCGGACGCAGGCTCCTTTTGGTTGGCGATTGGAACCTCACTCCATGGGAAACTCCTTTGGTTGACCTCGGCCTTAGCGTCTTTGCCCCAAGTCACAACGGTCAGTACATTCCATCTCGATGGAAGGGCAATCGGCCCATTGACTTTGCTGCTACGAATGATGCTACTGTTTCTGTGAGGCCAATTTTTCGAGATGAGCGAATCAGTGATCACAAGATTCTCCAACTTGACCTGGAGACCTCCTTTGAGCGATCATGTCACCACTCCTTGGTGCCCACACTATGCCTTGCTAAGCCGGCTGCGGTTTCCTTGGAGGAATGGCGACAGGCACTTGCTCGAGCTTTTGAGGGCCTGGTTGTCGATTGGGCTTTGGACGTTGAGGCCCAGTGGGCACAACTATGTGATGTGATAGAGGCCTGCTGCCTTCACGCCTTCGACTTGGTCAAGCGCTCGGCCGCCCACATATCTCAACGAGTACGGCCGAAAGGTTCTCTGCCAGCTGTGCGTGAGGAGTGTTTGCAAGACGCTCGCCAGCCTGATGCGGAGGGTGCACACATTAGGTCCCTCAATCGGTTTTTGGGGAGGCTACAAGAAGTGATGAGAGGTGATTATCTTCCTGAGGCTACTCGGGACGTGATCCACAACCTTCGGCAACAGCGACGAAGACACGGCTTGAGTGAATGGAAGCAGCGTGTGAAACTTGGTGGACGTGCGGCCATTCGTTGGCTCCAGAACAAGTCTTGCATGCTCCCACCTACGCGTGATGGTGAAGTACACGTCAGCGCTACCCTGCCTGACTCCTTGAGGTTATCCGTGCTTTTTGGCGCCGCGTGTGGCGCAGAACAGTCCCTGACTCTTTGGTGACTGAGTTTGAGGCTCGTTGGGAGTCCGATCCCCCGCCCACTTGTGACTGGGGTAGTGCCAGTGAGCCTCTCACAGCTGAGGAGCTTTTTGCGCGTGCACGCCAGAAGGCATCTGGTGGAGCTGGCCCTGACGGGTTCACTGGCGAAGAAGTTGCGAACCTTCCTCTGGCATTCTGGCGATTATTTGCGGATCGCCTGCAGTGTTGGCATGATGCCGAGTGCTACCCAGAAGTTTGGCGACATGCTCGTATGGTTTGCACTTGAGGGCACTGAGCAGGCAGTCGAGGCTAGTCGCTTGCGGCCCATCACTGTTTTTCCAGTCTTGTGTCGCCTTGTGGTCGGCACGTGGGTTGCGCGCAGTTCTGTGAGGAGTTGGTTGGACCACGTGACTCCGCCTTCCTTTCATGGCGGCATACAAGGGCACTCCGCTTGGGGAGCTATCGCCGCGCTGGACAGTGCTTGGTCGTCTGGCCGTGTACTCATCAGCCTAGATCTGAAGCAGTGCTTTGACCGCATCGTGCCGGAGTTGGCGGATCCAGCTCGGACGTGCCGTCTGTGAAACTGCCGAGGTTGTTTCCTCGAGCATCCCTCAAGGATGCCCGGCGAGTCCTTTAGCTCTCACTTTGCTACTTGTCAGTCCTGCATTGCGTTTGCAGGACAGGATTGGACCTCAGTTGACCCAGACCATTTTCATTGATGATCGCGCTGCTGTGGTAGATGATGCTGACACCGCTGCTGCCGTCATTGAGGCATGGTCTCACCTTGTTCATGAACTTGGCCTTTCGGAGAACATGACCAAGCTCAAGGTCCTCACCAATGACCCGGCGCAATATGGACGCCTGCTTGAGCTTGGCATTGTTCCTGCGGATGAAGCTGTGATCCTCGGGACTCGGCACCTCCTGCAGTCGGGGACCACATGCAAAGTGTGAATGAGACTTGTCTTGCTCGCCTTGAGACTTTACTCACTAGACACTAGACTTCGGTGTCTTCCTGTTGTCCAGGCAACCAAGGAGTCTTTGTACAGATCTTGTATTCTCCTGGCCTTCAGCTGGGGATTTTGGTGGGCTTTGGGAGAAGTCTTCTTCCTCCAAGGTGACCACGAAGGTGCGCAGAGCTCTTGACGTTGTACAAGCTGGAGCTCGCCCACTTTGGAAAGTTTTAGCTGGGCATTGGGTCGACGTCCCTTTTGCTGCCCAGCTCAACTCTCTCCGAGCCTTCTTGCATGCTGAGTCCTTCTGGAGTTCACGTGGCATCCATTTGCCATTGGGACGATGGGGGCTTGCTATGTACAGTTTCTTGAGCCAGTTGGGCTTTGAGAGGACCACTGAGCTTCAGTGGGTCAGTGGGTCCACGCACAGGTCGGCCATTTTGGCCTTGACAATTTGCAGGTTGAGCAGCGGTCCTGCGTCTGGTTCGTGAAGCTTGGCGTGTCAAGTGTTGGCGTGAGTTCTTTGCTCTTGATCGGCATGAGGTGCAGGCTTTCCAAGATGAGGAGAAGTCCTACTCCGAGCGAAAGCTCCATATGGCTGGCAAGCTCTACGCTGAGGCCTCGAATGAACTTCGTGGCGTCATGCTTGGTGGAGGCTACAGTGACGAGGCCTATGCTCGTATGCGCAAAACTTCCACCTGAGAGCGAGAGGTCCTTTCGTATTTCTTGCTCGCTGTGTGGTGAGAATGTCGTCCCGAACTGGCGACATGCTGCTTGGGAATGTCCTCGTTTTGCCGATTGTCGGCCTCGAATTCCTCAGGAGACATGGGCTTGGCGCTTTGGCTGGCCCCAGCAAGGAGATTCGCTGCCAGTTGCTCGAGCACGATTGGAGTTCCTTGGCTCTGTGCGAGCCGCCTTGAGGGCCCACTTCGGCTTCCACCCTGACGCTGGTGCATGAGAAGGTTTTCATGGTTGGTTGCTCGTGGATTTGCTCCCGTGCCTTGGTGAGGTTTTTCCTTTTGGTTTAGTTCGCTCTTGGGTTCTTCTGGCATCGTCTGGTGCCACGCGGATGTTAAACCTTCTACAACGAAGCAGTGAACGCAGCTATCGGGCGCATCGTCGCATCAGTGCCAAAGGCCACCGTGATGGACGTGTGCAACTCCATGGCCACAATTGTGGAGGATCCGTTCCCAACAACATGTTCTCCAAGGTGAACGCTCTTGATGCAGCCGCCGCTGCAACGGGCTTCTATATTCCAAACCTTCAAAGACGGCATGCGCGTGACCTACCTCCTGGGCGGCCCGTTCCTCGAGTACGGGTACGAAACGGTCATGTGGACGGCAGGTGTGGGCTTGGTCATTGTCTTTGTGTTTGTCACTCAGCCCCTCCTTGATTCCAGCTTGATGTACGTCCATGTCCTGCTTCCCCGCTGCCTGTTTCTTTCTCTCTGGCTTTCTGCATGCGCGGCTTCGCTTGCGTGGACATGTGTGGTTGTGGGAGGCAGACGCGTGCGCTGGAACAGGCGCACTCGCTAGCGCTCTCGGCGACGACCGTGGATTTTCGCTCGCTTCCTTGCCATTGTCGGGGGGGGCTCCTTTGACGGCAACTGGACGGAGTTCGTGCTCTCATTTGGTGGGCATGTGGCTGCTTGTGGGTTCAATCAGCCCTCCCAGGACGACTTCATTCCGTGGTGGTGGTGAGGATGGGCTTCGTGGTAGCAATGGCCTCGGCGCCAAGGGGCAGAAAGGCGAGAGGATGTTGGACATGCTGGCCCAGATGGTGGCTGAAGATGAAGATGACACTGAGGCAAGCGTTCTATGATGATTGCGCCGCTTTCTTTGGGACCGCCCTAAGGACCCCGTCAAGGCCCTCAAACTTCTCTTGCGGCGGCGCTCTCATGGTGGGCCCTTGCCATAAAAACCTGAGGAACACCCTCTAAAACGACGCAAACGCGATGCCCAAGCGAATTTAAAGCATAGCCAAGATAATTCCCAGCGTGTGACATGCTTGATTGACTCTGGCAGCTCAGCCAGGACCGAGGACGCAACAACCTACCAGTGCGGTAGCTTCTTGCCTATAACAACACTTCCATGGGCGCCGCGGTCTGTTCGCCAGGGGCGCCAAACCCGTTTGCGCGTTGTACAAACGTATTGATGCATGACTTCCAACGCAAGGTAGTCATCTCTAACCTCTACGCCAAACGATTGTTTGAAGTCAGCTTTCAACACAGCCAATGTCTCTATGACATACCTCACAGACCTTTCCCCAAGGCCTACTACTTCGTGTGCCTGCCGAGGCGCTTGTCTCACGGCCATACGCGTTGCTGTGTCAGCTGCTTTCAGTAGGTTTCCTACGCCTTGCTCCGCATCGGTTACAACCTCAACTGCAAACCTTGTGTTAAGGCCGTCAAGCGCAAACTCCGACAGCCACTGCTTGATTAGAGACCTGGTGCGTTGGGGTACACAGGTATCGACTAAAACCAAAGCCTTCCTCTTGCTAGGGTCCAGGAACAAAAAATCAGGGGTGTGCGAGACTGCCTTCCAGTGGCGCACCCGAACATGCCGATCCCAGGGCATGCGCCAGAGTCTCCTGTGCAGAGACGAGCAGGACTTGAGCCAGGGGAGGCTCAGGACCATCATGCTCGACAAAGTGCTCTTTGATTCATGCTTCAGACCCTTTTGCTATCACAGCCTCAAGGGACCCACTACAAGATGTGTGGCTTCTAAATTCGAGAAAGGCCAGAGTTCGGGATCCTGGCCTGCTGCTCTTCGAGGTGCTCGCCCTGGCTGCTTGGTTGGTCTCCAAGAAGGAACCTACAGCAAGCGCCGCCGGATTTTGCAAAAGATGCAACAGAAGCGCGCGGCGGCCTCAGTTCAAAATTCTTAGCCAGAGGCAGGTTTTTTTTATTGTAGCGCGAGTCTGTGTGTACGCAGCCTGAACAGGTTGGCCCTTCAGCAGCAGCAGGCGATTGCTCATGGATGTTCAACGTCTGGCACGTGTATAAATAAATCCAGCATCCTTGTAAGGCGCTTCGGCCTCGGTGAGCAAGAAGCGGCGCGCCCGGCAGGCGCATGACGCTTGATGTGAGCCGCATTGTTTTCGAATGAGCGCGCTGACGCACGTTCAAGTGGAAAGGAAGAGGACACTTCCAGCGTTTCCTCGGAACCTGTTCTCGCCTTGGCTAGCTAGCAAGCACGCCAACAGTTCACTGTTGTTCACGATTCAGGCCAATTTCCCACCAGATTGGGACGATGGCCGCAATTTGGGCCTGGACGTTCCTGATGAGGACCGCAGCAGTTTGGAGTCGTTGATTTGACCAATAAGAAAAACAGACGGCCCGAAAGTGTAAAGTTGGCAAAAGGATGCTGGCGGGATCGCAGTGATCGCAGCAGAGCTCAACATGTCCTCGATTCTTCAGGTGGATGAAGTGCAACGCGATCTGGAAGAGATTTTCGACCGCGTTGAAGCGGCGGAGCAGCAGGCTGGGATTCTAGGTTGCATTGATTATATAGATGTGATGCACCCCCACACGCCGGTGCCCTCCACATCGCTTTGAAGATGCTCTAACGTCACTCTCACTCCAGAGTCACATTCCGGATCGCTTGGCCGCTATCGATTCTTCTTTCCATATCGATCTATAGTTGCTCTCATGTTGCCTTTGCCGTAACTCTGTTTCTCCTGACTCGGTTTTTCAGATCACACAGCAATTGATTTTGCATCATTGAATAGCTATGTTTCCCCTACTCAACAGTTCATTCTATAGTCTCTATCTCTATTATCTTAATCCTGGCAACGCAGAGATGTCAGCAGGAGGCGCGGCGTAACCAGAAAGGCGTCGTGTTTGACGCAGAAGAGGCGGGCTTTTCCAAAGTAAGCAAGAACAAAGTTGCAAGCTGGCTAAACAGGGTGGCGCATGTGATTCTTGCAGGAACCCCGGCGGCGGGACAACTCTTGGGCACGAGACCTTCTGGCCAGGGCCAAACCACCATTGGCAGAGGTTGTCGTGGACGACAACTTCTTGGAGGAGACGGAAGAGTTGCGGAAAGCCTTCGTGGAGGAGACGCCGATGCAGAAGTTCAAGCGGAAGCTCAGCAGCATCAGCGACAGCAGCCTGACGCTCATCATGCAGCGCACCTTGGACCTGGCATCCCTGCAGCAGCAATTGAAGGCGGCCAGGTGCACAAAGACCGTGCGCCGGAAACTGCGCAGGTTGGTGCGTGTGGCCAAGCTGTCTGGCCACTTCTGGGCCTTCAACGCGCAGCAAAGGGAGGAGCTCCTGAGCGATGCCAACGTCTACGTCTTTGAAACACCGCAAGGGGGGCCTGAAGAGCTGCCTGAGCGCCAAGCCGCTGGCCACCCACGCCCGGGACCAGTGGGGCCTGCTGCCATCCGCCGTCGCTCCAAACAAGCTCCGCCAGATGTACTCTGGCAGGGATGGGAGGCTGTCCAGATGGCGCGCCAGGAGAAGACAAGCAGCCAGCTCTCAACGTGACCTAGATGCTGACATTTGGACAGCTTCATGGGGCACGCGCAGGATGAAGCCCTGGTCGCTGCTGCGGTGGGCGACGCAGCAACTCCTATTTAGCAAGGTTGAGAAGGGCCACTGCTACTACAGCAGCCAGCCGCTCAGCGCAAGCCGACTTGTTGCGGAGCTACAGGCGCACTGCACTTTGCAAGACTTTTACAGTCGCCTTCCGTTGCTCGCGAGCCCATCCACGCCCTACGATCTTGGTGACGTAGCTGTCCACATTGTCGGAGACATCAAAACGCCCAAAGGCGATGTCCTCACTGATGGTTTTGCAGAGATCAGTTTGAAACTTGCCCGCAAGCTGAACCTTGTATCTGGCGAGCAGGTTAGACAAGGAGTCTACGATGCTTATCAATTTCGTGGGCTAGCGAGGGACGCAGCCACTGGAGATGCTTTGATCGTCAAGGGAATGTTCGTGGTCATTGAGACAGATGAGGATGTCATGTACATCCGTAAGTCGTGCGAGAAGATCCGCTTCAAACCTTCTGCCGAATTTTCATCTTTTTCTCAAGAGCTGGACGTTGTGCAGTCCACTGCCACCCCGAGGCCAGCCCAAAGTGAATGCACAGCTTTGCGCGGCACTTGGGATGCGAGCTTGCCTCCTTCCCACACGGGCGGCCAGGCTGAGCACAAAGGCAGACCTGCGCGACTTCTGCAGAAGTCGCAGGGCAGACACTGCAGACGCCATGGAGGCCGAAAGCTGGGGCTTTGCGCGCGGGCTTCCTGAACACAGCCCCGGCATCGCCGTGACGGCGCTTGGGACGCCTGCTTCGCGCCCAGTGATGCTCCCGTCAGATATCGAAATCTGGGAGAGCGTGCCACTGCCCGACGACGCCACTCTTGTTCCCAACAACTGCATCATATGCAGTTGCAAGGGCATGGGTGTGCTCGCCCTGGCTGGCGGCGACTACGATGGGGACGTGGTGTTCTTTTCCTCGGACAGGGACTTGCTGGAGTTTGTCGCCAACACGCCAGATGGCCTCCACCGCCCGAAGCTTGTTGGGCTGGAGCAAGCTGTGAAGGAGGCCCTTGCTCAGGAAGCTCCAGTTCAAGATTTTTCCTACTTGGATTTCCTGAAGCACTGCTGCAAAGTCCCCACACCTAATGTGCGGGGCAGAACCTGCGCAAACGCAGAGCGTGCGCAGCTGGCAGTCTAGACTGCGCGGCGGCCGATAAGCTCTGGGCGGCTACCGCTGGCAGTTCAACTGGGGTACGTGGCGCACAAGGCCATGGGTGCAAAGAACGGGGTGTAAGTTTGTGTTGGTTGCCACAAGTACAATGCTGGCTCGAAATGGAATGGCTATGGCAACGCTCCTTGGCACCGAAGAGATTGGAAGTGGCAAGGCTATGCTGGAGAGGCTACTGGAAACAGGCTCGACTCCCTCAGATGAGCCGAAGCTCCAGCGAAAACTGCTCCTGAGTCTTCGAAGGCACAGCAAAAAGCCAAGCCATGGTTTCCAGAAAAGGCTGCTCGTGTCAAAAACGAGGGGAAAGGAGACTGCCTTTTTCTTGCGATAGCTGGGGCCCTGGCTAAACTCTCTCCTGACCAGAAAGCTTCCGGTCGCTCAGTACGGGCTTTCCTTGCTGCGTTCTACGAGAAGCATGCTACCGAGTACGCTGCCATGTGGGATGGCGTCAAACCAGGTGCAAGAACAAAACAGGAGGCTGGCGAGTGGAAGGGAGCCCTCAGTGACTACATCGCCGGCATTCGTCTTTGTGGGACTTGGTGCTGCTACCTTGAGCTCGTTGCGCTTGCTCACGCTTTGAAGAGGGACATCTACGTGTTGGACTTCAAGGGCGATGTCAAGGTCTTCTCACGCTCGGGTGCAGAGAAGCCATCTTCCTGTTCTACGACTCCGAGATTGGCCACTAGTACCTTGAAGGTGACACCGAGGCCCATGATGAGATTATGTTTTGGGCAACCCCTCACGCTGGAAGTCGCGTTCCCGGAGGGGGTCTTCGTCGAGACTCGAAGGCAGGTTCTTCGTGCCTCCGCCTCTCAGACTTTGCTACGAAAAAGGGCGCGGTGCACAAGCTAGCAGTGTTCGCCTCGCAGACTTTGCTCCCAGCGCAGCGTCAACGTCAAGGCCGCCAGCCTTAAGCTTGCCGACTTCGCCAGCACTGGGAGCCGACGCAAGCCTGCCCCGGAAATCTCTCCTGCAGAACTTCGGCATCTTCGCCAACCTCATGCTGGACCGAAAGCCTCTGCTGCTAGGCCACGATCCTCGACCAAGGCTCGAAGCGTGGAATCGACTGCGGGGACTTTGAATGAGGAGGCCGAGGAGGCTCCCTCAGTGGCTTGGAAACCTGGGCCGAAAGCCGACCCAAATCGTCAGAGGCATTCTACCGCGTGGAAGGCCTCCGTGGACATGACTGATGAAGCGATGGATAGTCCTTCTGACAGGGTGCCTTTGGCATGGTCCTGCCCCACTCTACTGCAACCTCGCGGAAACTTCCACAACAGGGTCGCGCGTGCCGCCTGCAGCTCTGCCAACTTCGAATGATCCTGTGTGCCAGGCGGACGCCTTGTGGACCTGCCCATGGTGCTCGTTTTCCATTCTCCGCCCGGAAAAGGACCCGGGGCCGAGGCGACTTACTCATGAGCTCGAAGGTCTGGAACACAGGCCTGATCAAGCGCATCACCAAACAGGCTGGCTTTCGACGGCGACTGTGTGTGCAGGAGCTCAACGCGACCTGTGCCAAGCTACGCTTGCTGAGATGTCTGGCTTCCAGGCTGCGACGTGGCCCCTTCTTGGTCGTCGAGGTCGAGTCAAACGACTGAAGCTGGCGAGATGGTGGTTCTGCAAGAACTGTAGCGCCAGATGTCGTAATGTGCCTGAGGCCAAAAAGCATCAATGTACCTTCAGATCCTACGTCCGTGACAATCGTGAGACCGAGCTGAAGACACTGGCCAAACTGGAGAAGTGGGTCCTTGCCCGCAGGGAGGTCGTCGCATGAGCCAGGAACGGTTCACCTTTGACTTCAATATCTTCGCCGCGTGGAATGTGCCGGCGTTCTTCGTAAAGTCCGCCCAGGTCCTTAAGCGTGCCCAAAAGCTGGAGGTCGACTTCTTGGCCGTGCAAGAGGCTGGCCTTGACTTCCATGCTCGCACCTCTGTGGGGCCACTGCGAGGGCATTTGGCTACCAACCCATTTTTGGAGCAGTCGAGCGTACTGAGATTTGCAACTCAGTTTTGTTTTCACGTGTGCCTGCCAAAGAGGTCAGGCTTCAGACCTTTTGCCCTGCACGTGTCGCTGCTGCCATCGTGAACGTTGACTTTGGGGGGACATTGTACAAGCATTTCAGTGTGATGCTCTTCTACGAGCTCAGCTGTTTCGGGAAATCTTTGAGCAGGCTGTGTCCAATGGCTTGCCATTTGTCGCCTTAGGCGATTGGAATTCGATTCCTTCGGATCCTGAGGTGCTCTCTCAACTCTTGCCTAATCGCTTCCATGCTTGGGGTGAGAATTTCCTCGGATTGCCCACAGATACTCGCGTCAGTATCGCGGCTGCTGGATTATGCTGTGGCATCTTCGCATCTTGTGCCTGTCTCAAGGCGCCAAGAAAGCTATACGTTTGGCCTCTCTGACCATTTCATGGTTCAATACAGCCTGGACGTTACTGAGCCTGCAAACTGGGCAGGCCCTCGCCGCCTAGTTGATATTGCTGACCAGGATTTCGTTGCCGTCTGTCAGTTTGGGTTCCTGTTGGAGCACGCTATAGGGTTGATGACGCTTGGACCCTATTCTCCGACGTGGCTGAACAGCTGCTTGCTCCAAACTTTGGCCGCGGACAGTTCGGAGATCGGCTACATGGGACATCACGCAGCTCAGGAGGATGAACCTGTTGCGGCTGTCCGTTTCCGTGGGCTCCTTCGCAGGATTGACCACGCCGTTCGACACCCTGGACAGGCAAGCTTATTTCGGCGCATTGCGCAGGACTGCAAATCTTTGGTTGTGCACTGCCCTGGTCTCGACACCTGTGCTCAAGATCTGGGTCAGGCATGCGTCTTAGCGGATAAGGCCCTTCGTGCTCTCCTTCTTCAAGCTCGGGACCAGCGGCTCCGTCTTTGGAAACAGCAGCTCGAGAAGGACGAAGCTAAGGCTCGAAGATGGGTCAAGGCCCGTGCGCAGCGACAACTTTGTGAGCGAAACCGACATTTTCCTCCTCACAGAGCCTCTACTCAGGTCGCATGAGTCGCATGTCACCCTGCTAGGGTCTTGGAGGAGCAAATGGACATCTGGACCAGTGTCTGGAATAGCGACTTTCAGGATGCTGAGCCTGCAGTCCTGGATGAGGTTCTAGCTGCTGGAGGCCACTCGCCCAAGTGGATTCATGACTTCGTGCCGGAGTTCTCTGCTGAAAACCTACGCGAGGCTATCCGGCCCATGACCGTCAAGGCCGTGGCTTGGGACGCCTCGAGCTTGCTGGCTTTGCCAAAGAGGTGGTGGGTGGACGGCCCTGGCTCGTTTATGGACAGTGGTTGTGAGGTGCGCCAAGGTGCCGGCTATGTGGGCTTCCGTGCAAAAAGTGGACGGGAGCTACAGGCCACTGGCCATTGCGTCGATCATTTGGAGATCTGGCGCTGAAACGATTGTAGGCCAACTCAGATCCTGGTCGGAGGCCTGGGCTGGGCACATGGTCTTTGGCGGCATTCCGGAGCATGGCGTTCTGGATTGCCATGTCAAAATAAAACATGGTCCGGCGAAGCGTGGCGCCCATTCGCCGTTTGTCAAACAGGACCGACACAGATTCTTTGACACTGTTCGTCTACCTTCACTGCAGAAAATTCTGGTGGCTATGGGAGCTCCGCTGGGCCGTTTGGTTGATGCATTTTACCATGCTTGCGGGCGGCGCTTCTGGGCTGGCAAAGCTGTGTCCCCCTGGACACACTCCGCAAAGAAGGGCCTGTTGCAAGGCTGCCCCCTTTCCCCAGTATTGACTGCATGTGTCATGCATTGCTGGGCGGCGCGTGTTCCCGCTGGTCAACTTGAGGTGGACACTCCTACATACTGTGACGATAGACTGCTTTGGCGCACAAACCCCGACAAGTCATGTCTGGTCACTGCCAAACTCAGGTCCGATCAGTTTGATGCTGCCAGGGGATTTTCCTGCCGGCCACGCAAACGTGCCATCGCTGCGGCTTCAGCATCGTTGGCTGTGGAGGCTGGTGTCGATGGCTCGTCGACTTTGCACATCCTGGGCGCAGCCTATGACATGCTGAACCAGTCTGGAGTGGCGCTCCCCGACTTGGACATCTGGCGGCTTCGATACTTGATCCGGGCAACCTCGTTTGTTTCCAGAGACTGGCGCATGCGCAAGAACCTCCTTAAGACCTTGGCGGTGTCTGTCTTTTCCTGGGCTGGTGGAACAGCATCGTTGTCTGACTTGCAGCTTGACCTCTTGCTTAGTGAAGTTAAGGCGGCGCTGACTCGAGCGCTGCCCGCTGCGACGGTCCCCGTTGACATCTTTGAGCTTGTGGGCTGGGATGTTGAACCTGGCTTCGCCACATCCTGGGCACACCTTTCTGCAGCTGTGAGTTATAGGGCCAAGAGGCCGCGATGGCATGATGACGCGCCGCTAGATCTGGCTTTGGCCTCGTGGACTGTGGTCCTCCCCCGGGCCCTAAGCGCTGTGCGCAGTCTGGGTTGGTTCATCTCACCTGACCGTGGCGCTCTCTGCAGACATGATGGTGCTGGCCAGCTTCGTACATTTCGCATGGTTTTCGACAATCCCATGATCCTGAAAGAATGGCTACTGGAAAGATGGCGGGCAGATGCGCTCCTTCGCTGTGGCCGAGTTGAACGTGGACTTCATCGCAGCGCTGACGGACCTCATCTTCTTGCGCAAGGCTTGGAGTTACCTCGCCCGCCGCCTGGTGGCCCTCTTTTCCAAGGTCATCGACAAGCCATTGCTCAGGCAGGAGCTGACAAGAACTTCGGTTGGCGTCTCCGGCTGCGGGACTAGGCGTCTGGTGCTTCAACCCCAAAGGCCGGATGCAAGCTGGAGATCCTCGGGCTCAATGTTTGTGCGGGAGGTCACTTCCATCGCAGCCTCACTTGCTCTGGACTTGCCCGGAGACAGCTGCTCACCGCCGCGGCGTTCGTCCTCCTCCCGATCGTGCCCAGGAACGTCTTGGTGCTGTGGTCCTGCCGTTCTACCCGGCCCCGCAGTGTGTGGATGATCGAAAAAAGTCTGCTTCGACTCCATGATGGGCTTCGTCGCTGCGTGGCCTCCGGTGCCGAGTCCATACTGCTGGCTACGGATGGTTCATACCACGAGGGCACTGCTGCCTGGGCCATAGTGCTCCCGTTGCTTGACCAGAAATTTTCTGCAGGAGTGAGTGGAGAGGACCAATCAGCGTTCAGGGCCGAGACTGCTGCGCTCGAATGTGCCTTACAGGAACTTACAGGGGATCTCTCTGGTTCTCCAGGAGACTGGTGCTAGGAGCTTGGATTTTCACTTCGTCAGCGACTGCATCTCTGCATTGGGCTTGTGTGAGGGCCACCCTGGATCATGCCCGCTGCTTGCTGAGCGCTTTCAGAACTTTGTTTCGGCCAGGCGCACGACTGGCAGCGGTTTGCTCTTCGAGTGGGTGCCTTCGCATGGGAAGACTCCTCGCAGACCATGGGCGCCCAGGTTTGGCGGTTCTTCGTGCTTGGAACCACATGGCTGATTGCGAAGTCCGTGAGTGTGTTCGTCGTCTTGCTCAAGACATCGCCAAGACAGGTTTGGCGTCGGCTGGCTCGAGATGCTGCCGAGTGGGAGCTGGCGGTCTGCAGGTCTGCTGCTGCCACGGGCGCAGCGGTCAGGCCTGTTTTGACCAGATAACGCGTTTTCTCTTTGGAGCCTCTAGGGGGGACCTCGTGTCGCACCCTGTGGCTCGCTGTCAAAATTCCTACGAACAAAAAGTAAAAGTCAGCAAACTAATGTGGGTACTGTGTGCTTTCCATGACCCTTGCGGCGATGTTGTTTGATAGCTTTGGATTTCAAACACTCCACACAAAACGGGCTATAAGGAATATGACCCTGCGTACGGTGCTGCAGCAGTTCATGAGAGCCCAAGCGACCGGCCACTGCACTCGCAGCCTTCCCCAGATTGTCAGTTGGCTCGTCTTTTGAGCCACTCACGTTTTAGCGTGCTCAACTTGGGATTCACTTGAAGGACAAATTGGAGCACTGTTTGCAACAGCAGACTGCCCTGGAAAGCTGCCAACACCAGCATGGTCCCCAATAGGACAAGCAGCATCTGTTGCCTCACCCCTGCAGGTCTCTTCACCGTCGGCTTTGCGCTTTATCGTGCTTAACTCACTCACGACATTTGTAGGCAAAACTGACAGATCCTTAGATGCACTTGGAGAAACTGCGCGTATCCATGGGCAGCCAGCCCAAATAACCATGCCCTGGACGGCAACTTCAAACCTGGAATGGACTAGGCCCATCTCAAGAAAACCCAAAGTGAAAAGCCAACCCCTGTTTGCAAGCTGCGTCGTAGACAGAATGTTGTGGCGGCGGGTATTCCCCACATAACACTCAACAGTAAAACGCTGACTGGCAAGGGAACCCTTTTCACGATCACAAGAAGTGCGCACTGGCAACGGGAGCTCTATACGAGCTTTGCCGGCTTTGCCGGTCATTGTCACTGCACTGCCGCTGGCAGCTGTAAAGTGATCTTCCGGCTCAAGCCATTCAAGCGCTTTGTGTTTGTCAAGGTTGCATACAGCCAAGACACAGACCGCAGCACCACTGTCGAGCAACCACCAGTCTGCAGAATCAACTTCACCGCACATCTGCGTCAACAAAGGCAACAACAGCAATGTACTCATTCAGAAAACTTTTGCTTACGCAACAACACAATGCTTTGTGCAACAATGCGCCTACGCACATGGCCAAGCCAAGCGCAAGCCACAAGCACTCGCTCAAGCTCCCAACTGCTAACGGCAAGGGATCACGCAAAAACGCCCTCAAGTGGAAAACTGCCGACCGCCAAGGATCACGCCGCAACTCCCTGACATGGAAAACTTTGCGCGCACAGTCACGAAGTGTGTTCTCCAACCACGCGCCAAGAACCATGGTCATGCCAAGCACAAGCCAAAAACGTCCGCTCAAGCTATCAAACGCCGACTGCCAAGGATCATGCGAATCAACCAACAACATGATCAACGGCAAAGCAGCCTTCTCATGCTCAGCATCTTCAGGCTGGAGCTCATTAAGGGGGCGCTTACCTTCGACCTTCTGCCTCTCATACCTGCTTCCAGAGTTCTGGGCGAAAAAGGGTCCGTTGGACTACGCTCCCTATCGGCCATTGTGCTGACTTTATCCTATTAGGGCACAAAGCGAAACCGCCAACCTGAACCACGTCCGTACTTAAGCTAGACTTGCTAGAGCCTGCGATTACCTAAGCCGGCTCCGCTACCATATAAATAAGCACACCCTTAACCGTGGTCTTTTTCCGATTCTTGATCCAGACACGTTCCGAATAATTCTGAAATGGCTGTTCGCTGCACAGGTTTTTCTCCGAAGAGCTTCCATGCCCGACAGTCCTGTGCATGCAAGATTCAGCTCTTCACCAGAAGCATCGTGTAGCTTCTGCTCGGCTTGATTTGCGAGGTCAAGAACCACCGCTTCATGGATCAACTATCATATCGTATTGGTTAGTTATATACCATATATAGTGTAACATATTTACACTAACCCCTAAACCCTAAACCCTAAACCCTAAACCCTAAACCCCCAAATTTCTTCTGCCCTCAACCTCCATTCGGGCCCGGAGGCGGCCTCACCGCGCATTCGGTCCTACCGGAGTTCTGCGCGCGCGTGCGGCCTCGGGGAGGCGGCACCTTTGGCTTCCCTAAGCCCTGTTAGGGTATTTGGGGTTTGGTGTTTGGGGTCTAGGGACCCAGGGTTTAGGGTTTAGGGTTTAGGGTTTCGGGTTTAGGGTTAGGGTTCGGGGTGGTTCTCTAAACAAGGGTCCTCTTCATAAGGGTGCCGCTTTTGCATATAGGGGACAAGTAGAGAACTGTTCTTCTTAGGGCTTAGGACTCAGGATGGTTGAGGGTTTCCTTTTTGTCCCGCGGAAGGTATGTGTTCAAGCCTCCCCCGTCGCAAACCCAGTTCAGAAACAGCCCTCGGCTAAGAGAATCCTCCACTTGGAGGTTCATGGTAGTGATAAGTAGGGTTAGAGGTATCCTAAATAGGTGTATAGGTATAGTTACCATACTTATAGCCTTACTTCCAACTACCCGTGAACCTCCAAGTACCCCAGAAGCTGGCTCACAGAATGTCCAGCCACACCGGCTTAGGGCTGACATCGCAGGGTTTAGGGTTCGGGGTTTAGGGTTTAGGGTTTAGGGTTGCTAGATAGGCCCCTCATCGGATTTGCGTTGGATCCCTAAGGTTGCACCCTTGGGTTTGGGGACCCTGTTTTGAGGACCCCTAAGCGAATAGAAGGACCATATTAGGAGTATTTCAAGGGAACCTCTTAGGGGTACGTCCGTAGGGGTCCGAGTATGACTGCCTTGGAATAGTTGGCAGTTTTCATTCCTTCAGTACAAGGTACGTATCAAGTTACCATCAGCAGGGCTCTTTATAGCGAATAGTCGGGCACACGGATGGCATCTCAAGTTAGGTTCCTGGACACAAGAGCCAAACGCAAGTTATAGGGTTCTGAAGGGACAGGGGTGCATGCGGGGGGTAGGTAGCTGGGGAACCTTAGCGAAGCTTCGGGGAGTAGTGGGGAGGGAACCTTGGGTTACATACCCCTCCCTCAAGGACCCTAAGAACCCCAAAACCCTAAACCCTAAACCCTATACCCTAAACCCTAAACCCTAAACCCTAAACCCTAAACCCTAAGCCCTAAACCCTAAACCCTAAACCTGCCTGAAGAACCCCATAGCGTATCTGAGGGTGGCCCGACGAGGTTGAGTTTTGAGGAACCTCCGGATGGGCCTTACCCAAGAAGGGACCACATTTTTGAGAACTCACCGTATGTATACGTATATGTATATGTATATGTATATGTATATGTATATGTATATGTATATGTATATGTGTATGTGTATGTGTATGTGTATGTGTATGTGTATGTGTATGTGTATGTGTATGTGTATGTGTATGTGTATGTGTATGTGTATGTGTATGTGTATGTGTATGTGTATGTGTATGTGTATGTGTATGTATACGTATATGTATACGTATATGTATATGTTTATGTATATGTATATGCATATGTATATGTCTATGTCTATGTCTATGTATATGTATATGTATATGTATATGTATATGTATATGTATATGTATATGTATATGTATATGTATATGTATATGTATATGTATACATATCTGTATATGTATATGTATATGTATATGTATATGTATATGTATATGTATATGTATATGTATATGTATATGAAAATGAAAAATGTATATGTATATGTATATGTATATGTATGTGCATTTGCTCTTTGGTGTGGTAGCTATACCTGTCCTTGTCCGTAACTGTACGAAGCCCTTTTCTGCACTTTGTTAAAGGAGAGCGCGTGAGGAGTGGCTTAGGTGCAGTTTTGGCTCCACTGCCGAGCTACTGCCAACTGCCCGTGTTGCTGGTGCCCACTCCACCATGGCATTTGCTGACATGTCCAACACGTACTTCGAGTACGCGAGAGAGGCTGGAAGATTTGCACCCCAGGCCCTAAACCCTAGACCCCCAAACCGCTTGACCCTAGACCCCAAATCCCCCACACCTAAAGCTCTAAACCCTAAACCCTGGTCTTCCACTAAACAACACCATATCCCAACATGTTCTACGAATTATTCGGTCACCAACTTATCATTTACAAAAGTAAGAGAATTACCAACTAATCCTGCAACAAGTCCAAGAAATCCAACTTCAATACCAACAACATATTACTGAAAGCTCACCCAAGATGACCCCAACTGAAGCGTTACAACATGGTGGAATACGTTCAAAACTCTCAACCGAAAACAGCCTTCAGCCTAAACCCTAAAAACTCTACAACCCTAAAACCCTAAACCCAGAACCCCAAAACAAGAACCCTTCCTGCCATCTTTGATTTCGGAATCCTCGCGTATATTATGCCGGAAGGTCCGCAGGAGTCCGCCGCAAGCGTCCTGATAAGGGTTTAGGGTTTAGGGTTTAGGGTTTAGGGTTACATGGGGCCTTAACATGATCTCTTACCTCCTGAAAGGGTTCTGAAGTAGGGGCCCTTGGGGAAGGGGTATATAAGGGGTCCCCTTTTGGACCTAAGGGTAAGCCCCAAGCCCCAAGCCCCAAGCCCTAAACCCCAAACCCTAAACCCCAAAACCCAAAACCCAACACCCTAAACCCAACACCCTAAACCCGAAACCCTAAACCCTAAACCTTAAAACCAAAAACCCAAAACCCCAAACCCTAAACCCTAAACCTTGCTCTCTTTCATATAATATTTAAATGTTAAGGAGTTACTGGGCAAGGTCGCCGTTTTACTGGGCAAGGTCGCCGTTTCACTGGGCAAGGTCGCCGTTTTACTGGGCAAGGTCAGTTCGGTCAAAAAAATCGACCTTGCCCAGTAAAACGGCGACCTTGCCCACTAAAACGGCGACCTTGCCCAGTAAAACGGCGACCTTCCGCCCCTGCCCAGTAAAAATGCGACCTTGGACCCCGAAGGTCGCCGTTTTACTGGGCAAGGGACCTTGCCCAGTAAAACAGCGACCTTGCCCAGTAAAACGGCGACCTTGCCCAGTAAAACGGCGACCTTCGGACACCCCCCACTGCCCAGTAAAAATGCTACCTTCGGCCCCGAAGGTCGCCGTTTTACTGGGCAAGGTCGCCG